ATTTATAATTAAATATTTTTTAGATTAAAAAATAATTATTTTTAATAAATGTAAATAAATCTCAACCATTCAAAATGAAAAAAATAAATGATTGAGATTTTATTGAAGTGAAATGTGTAAGACTTGTGTGTAAATGAATTCTAACTCATGTTTGAAAAGTAAGATAGCAAGTGAACAAATCACTATTCATAATTGAGAGATAAATTATCAAGATTTTATATAAGTATTCTATGTAAAATTTGTGTAAATGAGAATTTTAGGTAAAGTGTTAGGATAAAAGTGGTTGAGATTTTCCTTTCAACATTTGCATAACCCTTACTCAACTCTTACTAAAATCACTTATATAAAATTCTAACCATTAATTATTTTACTATAAATAGTTGAGATTTTTTTTTCTTTGCCTTAATATGAATACTAAAAATTTATAACAATTTTTCAAATAAAAAAAAGACAATTATATTTAAAGAGAAGGAATCCACTCATACATAAGTTTTACACACTCTATTTACACAAAGTCTCAATTATTGATTTCTCTACTTTCAATAAATGAGTTTATAATGACTTTTTAGATAAAAAATAATTATTTTAATAAATATAAATAAATCTTAACCATTAAAAATAAAAAGATAAATGATTGAGATTTTATATAAGTAAAGTGAATTATAACTCATGTTTGAAAAATATGATAATAAGTGGATAAATATCAACATTTTTAATTGAAAGATAAATTACTAAGGTTTATATAAGTATCATACGTAAATTGTGTAAATTGTGTAAACTTTTACATAATTTTTGCCGCGAGGGGAGAGGAGGCTAGCTAGACTTGGATGGATTGAGTGCCTACCGTCATTGTTAAACGACATGGTCAAGGATGGTGTTCCCAAATAATCTTATGCCTCGAAAGCTGAGGTATCATATGGTACTTTTCAGATGTTTTGAATACACAATAGGGTAGTCCTTTTGATCTACTTACTTTAACATAACAATTACATATGTAATATCTTTGATAATTGGTAATTCATTGTACTTAATTCTCTATATATATGTGTAAAATTAAATATTAGTGCTCTAGATTTAGCTTCATATTATTATGCTTATACAGCAGGGATTTCAATCCAATTTTTCTCAATTATTAATGATGTATCAAAAAATTTTATAAAAAGTATTTACCATATGCATCATTAAAAGGGCTTGGTAAAAACCTTTCTTAAGCCCTCAAACTTATCTTAAAATAATATTTAAGCCTTTAAACTAAAAATAAAGCAGATAAACTCTTTAACTCCCCTAATGATACAAATAAATCCTTCTGCTTTGTTGAACATCACCTTGAAAACCTGAACACCCATGAATAAGAAAGGTTTATTTGCATCGTTAGTGGTGTTGAAAGGCTTATTTACTTCATTTTTAGTTCAGGGGCTTAAATGCTGTTCTGGGTTAAGTTTAGGGGCTTAAGAAGGCTTTTTGCCAAAGGACTTTGTCAAAAAATTTAATTTAACGTAATCATTAATGATCAGAATAGGACATGCATCTCCCTGCCAAGTGCGCAAAACAGCACTTAATTACAAGAAAATTACAAGAAAAGACTGCGTTAGAACTGTTGCTGGTAGCTTAGGAAGAAAATGTATAAATTAGGTCAGTTTTAGCCTGCACAAACTCAAGAAGGAACCAAATATGGAGATGGACCAACAATATATATCAGAGCCGGTGAGTCCTGCTGGGCAATACTTAAATAGCTCGGTATTATCTATATCCATAATTAATGTTTGGGAAGCAAAAGAGCCAATTGATGACTCTCAGGCTGTGTGGCAGCTCCGGACCCATTTGCTACCCATTAGCCCGCGTTTCTCCTCCATCATGGTATACTTCCTTATATACACCTTCTCTTACTTTTCTTTTTCAAAGCAAATCTGCATCTTAAATCCTTATTTCTTTAACTTGATTAATTATCAGTTTAATTCTCACGCATTGCAGTATATGAACTAAAACAACCAACACAATAAAATTGTGAACTTGCAGGTTATAGGCAAACATGGAAAGAAACGCTGGAAGAGAGTTCAGGTAATCCCAGAAGAACATGTTAAAGTCCCTGTCTTCCCTACTGGACTGACACCAAATCTTTACGACGAGCACCTCGAAAACTACATATCAGAGATAGCAATGGAACCGTTTCCTCAGAGCCGTCCCCTATGGGAAATTCATATCTTTAAATACCCCACAAGCAATGCTGCTGGTAACTGGATATTCAAGCTTCACCATTCACTTGGTGATGGTTTCTCCTTGATGGGGGCACTTCTTTCTTGCCTTAAAAGAGCTGATGATCCTTCTCTTCCTCCTACACTTCCTTCTCTTGGACTAAATGCAAGAAGGAGGAATATCGAGAATCAAAGGAACAGCTTACTTAGTACTGTTTCTAAATTTTTCTCTCTAGCCTCCAATACCATATCAGATATTTTTCAGAGTATAACCAAGAGTACTTTGATAAAGGATGATCAATCACCTATATGGTCCGGTAATGATGGAGTCGAATTTTCTCCATTTACTACCACAACGATAACATTCTCTCTCCATGACATTAAACAAATCAAGTTGAGCCTTAACGTGGTAAGATTGTAGTTGATTTCTTTTGAGTTTAAACTTTTAATTTCTCGTGTCTAAGTAATCGAAGTTTTAGTCTTCCCATGAAATCCTCAATCTCATTATGATTTGAGTTCCACATTAAGATGTATAGAAGTGTGAATATGGTATATAAGTGGGGATATCTGAATATAATACATAAAGTAATATAGACTAAATACATCTATAACTATTTTGTAATAAGAGTTAGAGTATATACTTCCATAATAATTTTTGTTCTTAAAAAAATGATATATAAATATAGAAACCAATAATTGTTAATAATTTAAGTTAGAGCCTTTTAAGTATTTAATAGTAGGTTTT